ATAATTTTTCCCCAAAAGTTTGGTTTTTTGTCTTTTTTTTTTTTTTTTTTTTTTTTTTTTTTTTTTTTTTAAATATTAGCATGCAGAATTAAGTATTATAATAAAGTAGGGAGCCTTAAGTGCTGAAGATTATTGAACAGATTTAGGAATGACCAGGGAGCAGACCTCATAGGTGGTAAAGGTGTGGATAGAAATTCTGGTACAGGTGATATCTCCAAAGTCTGGGTAGCCACGGAGTTTTTATTCAGATTAATACAGGTATCCTGGGCTCCTGCTCCATTAGGTAGATCTGCAGGTATGCTGATAAATACAGATATTTATGACATGAAGGGGGGGGTGGGGGTGGGAAATATAAAGACCACATCATTTGTGACATGTTGTTTCAGGACTGACCAAAAGTGGGACAAATATTTTCCAGTGGCTTTGGATTTGCTAAACTACAAATCTGGAAAATCTAGACACATCTTCACTCAGGACAATGAACTGACTCTACAATTTAAGGCCAAAACCAAATCTGTACCTGGTGGCTCAAAAGAGGATGGTTAAAAGTGGACATCTAAAACATACTTGGAAATAGGGTGCAGCAAAATTAGAACTAATCAGTTACTAAAACATGCAAATAAACTTGACATAAAGGCTAGACTTTGCCTTTCTAAGCTTAAAGTAACTGGTTTAAGAGTTGCAATTTACACATTTCAGTGAGGGCTTTCTATTTCCTGTCCTTCCAGCTGTTGAAAAGGAAAAAAAAAAAATCTATTTTATCCACACAACAATTCCTAGCACATTACAGTTTAGGGATAAACAATAAAGAAAATCCACAGGGCATTTGTCTTGAACAATGCCTGAAAAGTTGGAATATTATTAAATTGGGATATTTATCTGCAGATTACTGATGGAAGATAAAGTTTCTATTCTGTTGTTTGCCCTATTCTCCCCTCCAGGTGATCACTTCAAGTTTAAGCTTATTCATTTATATCAAAAACTACTCAGAATTTTTCAAAGATCAGATGTGTGCTGGGAATCAGACATGAGCTAGGGCATGCTATCCACATGCAAATGGAAAAGCAGTCCATTGTTTTGGAAACAGTAACAAAGTGCAAAATTTAACATCAACAAGTGTTGTGCAATGGGGATATTGGGTGAAGAGATGACATCTTTAAAATTGTAAATGAAATTCATTTCACACATTCATAAAATATTTTTTGAACTGGTGATTTGTTACTATGAATTTATAGGAAACTAATATTTTTGGTAGCCTTTCTCAAACTATTCTCATATCCTCAATAGAATCTATGACTATCTATGTTTACTTTTAAGCAAAATAAAGGTTTCTATGCTTTGGTTTATTTAGAGAGGCCTTTTCTTCCATTTCTTGCTAAAGAAACTCACCCTTCAAAGGGATAAGAGCTGGTAAGATAGATAAACATAATGGTAAATTAAATACCAACATGAAGATATTCTCATTACCTAGGGACGTCTCCAAAACATAAAAATACTTGAAGGTCAAACCATTCTGCTCTTATGAAGAAAACTTTACAGAGTCTAAGTGATAACATTCCATAGTTTTCATTGTGTTGATGTCGTCTTAAACTCCTGTCTTCCTTTCCATTCATAAAAAATTCTTTAAACCCAGTAAAACAATTTTAATACACATTCCTTCTTTAATACACAGTATTCTATCAAATGATTATATTATCGTGTATGTACACTCAGTAACACACTTGGTTTTAGTAACACAGTACTCACTACTGAGTTACATGATGGGGGGGGGGGGGGGGGGGGGGGGAGGGCAGAAATCAAGCTGATTGGCACTTGTCATCAAAACAGCCTTTAGTGAAATTATTAAAGTGAATATTTTCCCCCACTGTCCCTAAGGAGTTAACCCAAAAGGTGTGTAAGATGTGATATGCCTTTGTCCATCATTACCAGTGCAAATCTAATTGTACTTTATGCTGTGCATTGTTAGGCATCCACATCGGTGACTGTTAGTGTTAGATAACTTGGCTGTTACCTGAAGTGTCCATTTTCTGTTTGGCTTTTCCTAAAGATAAAATGACAAATACTGTAAGCTACATTGTGCTATATAGCCATATAAACCATCTGAAAAGGAAACACAAGCTCAAAATGCTTCCAAAGGTCTTCATTCCTTTCAGTTTGCCAAGTTGTGCAATAAAAAATACCAAGCCCCCCAAGTCTGCAGAAGTGTTTGCAGTGGACATGGATTTGTTCACAGGACCAATTCCATCAGAAAAGCGTGTAGGTCAGGTGCACAAACTACAAACCAACTGCAATGGTTCTCATTAAGCAATTATGAAAGATTGGACTTTTATATGAACTTTACAATTCACCTTTGAGGTCTGAAGCTTCTGTGACTCAATAAATGTTACAAAAGCTGAGAGAGAGTTTTACGTAGTAGAATTCTTACTCCTGTAGCCCCCCCCAAAAGGTCAATTATTTTCTTGATTTCTGGAAATCTCATGTCAATTTTGACAACACAAACACATACCACATTTTTAACATGATCAGGAACTCCAGTACTGCGATAGTACTGTACAATTCAGTTTGTTTCTACTATGCAGCAGGGATTTAACTGTTTCTCTTTTTATAATCTGTGAAGGTGCAATGAAATTACAGCTCCGTGCACGAGAAGACTATTCAAGGAGTCGGAGAGACTCAAAAAAGCCAAAACCCCCCAAAAAAACCAGACAGAACTAAGATAAAAGCAACTTTTATTAAAATACTCTTCAAGCTTCAGAAAGCATAAATTAATGAATGTGTAACTACTATAATACATTATTTTACAGGAGAACCATAGGGCCATGAAGCTTTTATAAACACAAGAAAGCCTGTGAGCTTCACTCTGAAATAAATAAATACTACTGTCTTATCTTGTTCTTGTTAGAGGATGTGTTGAAGTTCTTACAGGTACACAGCAACATTCTGCTCAATTTTTTCTAAGTTTTCCACAGTATGAACATATTACTAGTTTAAGCAGCAGTACTTTATATTAAGCTTGCACTTTGATTCGCAACATTGGATTTTATTTTTTTTTTTTTTTATTTATCTTGTATTTACTTAAAAGCAGTCTGTCTTCTTGCTCTACTCTGTAAAACATTTACAACCACTCTAAAATTGACCTGCTGATAATCTAGTGAAATCCAAGATAATTATCCTGGTAAGTACAATAGTTTGAAATAAGTGCATTATAGTCCCTCTTCGTCTTCTTCCCCCAGCCCCAAAATCAAAGTAATACAATTTCTTATTTTGTTCATAATTTTCTGCTTTCTAACAACCTACAGTAACTCAAACTCAGCAATGCAAATGACTCCTTTACGGCAAAAAAAGAACTGCAACAGCCATCTCCTCCCCCATGCTGGGAGATTCAGTCACCCAAGTTGTTCTGTTTTAAATATGTATTTTTTTTGTCACAAAACATTTTAATCTCTTTTTTTTTTACACATCAGTAGGAAAGTGTTAGAAAAGTATAGAAAAGGCTAGAATTTCTCTTGCAGTAAGGCTAGTGAAATATGTGGTTTTTGTTGGGTTTTTTTTTGGTTTTTTTTTTTTTGCAAAGCAGATGGAAAAGAAGAAAGGAACAAAGTGTTTGTATTTTGCTTTTGCAACTTGGGTAAAATCACTGGACATTAAGAACACGTGCTGAGACTTCATGGTGCCAGTCACGTAATTTTGTATATTTGGGGCTAAAGACGTGGATAGGAACCTTTTCCCTGTGGAAAGAAGTGATAGAAGAAAAATAAGAAAGGAAAAAGAAAGGAAAAAAAAAAGAAAGAAAAAAAAAAGAAAGGAAAAAAAAAAGAAAGGAAAAAAAAAAGAAAAAAGAACTTCTATTAAATTTAACAACACTCTCCTCCTCTCCCCCCACTTCAAACCTCATTTATCTTTTATGAGCCCTGGGCATCTTGCCATAATAAAACTGTGCATAATACAGGAAAAAAAGAAAGGAAAAAAAAGAAAGGAAAAAAAAGAAAGGAAAAAAAAGAAAGGAAAAAAAAGAAAGAAAAGAAAAAGTTTCTTAAGCAGTTTCACAAGAGAGCATGCAATCTCCATGCACTATTCCTATCCGCACATTGCCTTCCTCTCTGTCAAAAACTTGAAACCAGTGTTAGGCAAAGTCAGTAGAAAAACTCCCACTGACTGCAAGAACCATTAGATTTAGCCACTGGTTAGTCCTCGTTTTGAACAACGCTTATCCCAAAGCAAGGAGACAGCTGACCCTCGTTCGCAGTCCAGTACGGTAATACTTTCCAGCTATGCTTTACAATCCAATCCACGCTCACAAATGAAAAATGCCTGGTTAGTTTTTAGGAAAAGGAAAACACATCAACAAGCTGACCTTGTACAGAAAACCAAACCAGTCCAAGTTTACAGAAGATCTCAAACTCCTGCACAAGCATTAATACTGGACTGTACCAACAGATTTTAAAAAGTCGGTCTATGCAGAAAAAGATCTTGATTTTTACATGCCGAAGTAGAAGGCAAAAAAAGAAGCTATGTTTTAAAAACACCTAGATGTCACACAAACTCACCAAACACCATCAGTTAAGAATTAAGACATGCAAACTATTAAAGTAATAAAAATGTAAAACATCAACTCACTTAGTCTTCTTTGCAGCTTCATGTTCCGGTTCTTTCACTGCAAGAAAACAGAAAATTTTTATTTTCTGAGGCACTGAAGACACTGCACCACCATACACTGAGATTCTCCCCTGTGCATTCACCACAGCAGGAAATTACAACAAGGCTCATTAGGACTCCTTGATCCTAAATAAGCCCCAGTGGAAATGAGGTATGTCTGTAAACTTCAAGAGCCCCTTTGCTAGCAGAACTGCTGAAAGGTGGCTCTGCTGCTCTCTGCCCTTTCCCTTGGCCCACTCTCCACATTGGCACTGAGAAAGGTGAGTTGGGAAGGGGAAGATTAATGGAAGTTGGGAAGCATTTCTTTTGGACAAGCATCCAGTGGGTTTATACCAGGTGATAATCCAAGCGTCTGTTTGCAGACAGGCTGTGACCCATGAAGGTGCCAGAGGACTGCACATGGGATAATGTAAATTCACAGCTTTGATTTTAAGTTTGGCAAATCTAGTTGCAGTCACTTTCTTATAGTATTTGTCAACATGATTAATTCATCAGTACTGGATGACATATTATTTGACATTCAGGTCTCATATTCTGCCCTTAAAAGGATTAATGAAGAGAATCCAAAGATAGACAATGATCCGTTAATAGACTAGCGCAATGCTGGACCAAAAAAACAATTGGGTAACTGTCCAAGATCAGAATATTTATCGCACATGGACAATAATCCTTATTTGGGGAGATGGTATAATTGGCTTCTAGAGTAATTCTGCCAGAGAATCAATAGTTGATTTAATCAAATCTGCCCCTGGGAAGGGGGTCCGATTTCCTCACTCTCTTCTTTATTGTAGCACTAGCTGTGAAAAGCAGAAGAATGAAATAATCACCTCTGCATTAGCTGCCTCAGTCTGAACATGACTGAGCTCAAATCTCCTCATGGCACTTCTGATGGCTTTTACACACCATTACAGATCTCAGCCAGTGAATTATAACTGACAGCATAATATGAAATTAAATTTTACCATAAAATTTTATGACTGGGAATGACCTTCCCCACATCATCTGTTCCAGTCCAAAGTACATGTAAGCACACCATAGCATAAACAGAGGATGGAAACATGACCTGGGGATAAACTGAGGAACTATGGATTTATGCTTCTGATTGGTTAAATCATTGCAGATCACATACCCTTGTATGACTATCAAAGATTTTCTACATGCCTGAAAACACCTTAATTTTTCTGGAGCATTAAATTTGAACAAGAATGTCACCATTCTGGTAATACAGGAGAGGAAAGAAACAACAAATACATATCTGCCAATGTCTTTGGCAGTAGAAATGCAAATTTTAAGATTTATCTAAAATGTAGTAATATTCAACTCAATCAGGAATAATGTCCAGTAATGTATATGTCCTGAGCTATTTAGCAATTGCAGGAGTTTTACAAAAAATATTTTCCTACTATAGTCTTCCCGAATTTTTTTTCTTTTAAAGAGCTCACCAAAATTCTGCCTACTGGATTTATTACCCAAGAGAGAAAATGCAAGAGATGTGACTGAATCCTTTTACTATCCCCCCCATCTTTTAAAAACACCTATCTGTCCAAGACCATTACTTTTATTTCATTTACATCAAACTACTCACTGTGATCAGTGCCAGTGATTTGGGCAAGGATGCGGAAAGAGCGGGACTGGGTGGTGCCTGTCCTGGGATGCCAGTCTTCGGTATCTTCAATCAGTCGCTTCTTGCTAGCATCGCTATGGGTGGGTGTGTGGTAAAACTCTGTATAGGTGTCCACAATGTGCTTCCGCGGGGGGCTGCGTCAAGGAGAGGAGAGAGCAGTGAGTGAAAAAGCTTCAGAGAGCACCTGGGTAGGGGTAGCTACAAAGACATGGACTTTTCACAGCATTTAAAGGCAGCTTCTGCATTTGGATGCAGATGTGCAGCAGTGAGCTCTACAGGCACACCTGAGCACAGATTCAGGTCTCTGAACCAAACACAGCTTTATAATTGCTCTAACCAGACAGAAATATTTTCCCTTGTTTCACCGCTGGAAGATTTGAAACAGTAAAAGACAGTATTATCAAGACATTTACATGTTTAAACCTTTACCGTTTGGGTGGGTTTTTCCTTGGAGGAGACAGAGTAAGACACCAAGAGAAAGTTTTCCCAGCATAAACAGGAAAAGGAAAAAAAGAAAAGAAAAAATCAAGTCAGAAAGTTGAAATGGAAGTGCAGCTAATTATTCTATTGAATTAGTTTTGTGGGAAAGGGCACTAAAATCCAATTAACAGTGATATTCTTATTCTACTACCAAAACCAGAGCACAGAACTCCCATACTTAAATTAAACTCACAGTGATTTCCTTACAGGGATGATAGCGGAATTTGTTTTGGTAAAGCAGGGTAGTCTACTTAGTTCAGATCAGGTGCCCCTTGACAAATTCTCCCCTTGGTTCACAAGAAGCAAAGCACTAGCTGTGTGCAAGGGACGCCCAGTACACGCCAAGTCTTTTGCGCTTGGCAAAGCCTGGATCAGAACCAGGCCATCTGAAAGCGTAGGTAGCGATGTTCTGGAGCATTACGTGGAGATACTGATGCTCAATACCCTCTCTGAAAGTCAAAAAAGTGGGGTGATCGTTTCAGCTGGAAATTTTTCCCACAGTAACCTACGTGCTATTATCAATCCCTGCACTAGCAGACTTGCAAGAATACAGGATTTTAAAGCTTTGCTTTCAGTAACTGATGTAAAGAACATGTAAAGGCACTGATCAGTTTAGGAAAAGGGAACAGAAGATTCATTCTATATATATTACTCCTAAATTCTACATTTGTTATCCAAAAGCGTTAACATTTAAGACCCTTTAAATGTATATTTATTTTTACATTATTTACAGGAGATTAACTGTGCAAAACTAGCTCCTAAGACATAACAGTTCTAATAATAATGAAAAAAAAAAAAGAAGAAAACTTTAAAAGTCACTTTTATTTTTGCCACTAGTTCCCCACTGTACTTTTAATGGCCAAAGTATTTCTGGTGAAGAAAGGTGGAAAATATGAATGAGAATGATGTAAATTATTGTCAACAAGTAAGGATTAGGCCCATTCAATGGAATGCATTAGTAAATACTTAAGCTTAAAAGAATACTTAATACTTCAAAGAATTATGTGAAAGGTATCATACAAAATTATATCAAAAGATTGATTTTATTGACACACAGTATTAGTGAAGTACGTGTATCACATACCAAAGTTACTAAAAGCGGGAGACGTATAGAAACAAAGACAGTGATATTTCCAGGATGGAGTACAAGAAGTACAGAGAATAATGAAGTAAAGCATCAAAACAGTTAATAGCAAAAATAAAATCTGAAAATTAAAGCAGTAATCAAAGGTGTGGAACTACATGGAAATGTAATTATTTACATGCAGGTGACTGCATACTAGCAACTACCACAGTGAAATAAGTAGTTTTTCACATTTGTTGAAAATGGTATTATAAACAAAATATCCCACTGACTTCTCTTGGGGATCCTACTGGTCCCTTTTTTAAGGCTCAAGAGTCTACTGGTAATGACTCATTGAGGCAACAAGGTGGTGCCAGAGACAAAGGAAAATCCAACGAGACGGGCTTTCCCTTAACTCAAGCCCTGAGGCAAGGGGAGAAAAGACAAGCCAATAAAACCTAATCATATTTATCATCCCTAACACGTACAAATCACAGTATATGGATGTTACTCTTACTTTTGTTGTATGAATTCAGTATTTGGCCCTTCATTCCATAGTCCTCAAACCATTTTTTGCTTTTATACTGTATCTCACCATTTACTAGTTGTATTACTAACACCAATTAGCCATAGGTGCACCAAGAATTTATCAATACGCACAAACACCACACAAATGTTTTGTGGAATAAAAAAAAGCTGCAAAATTTAACACAGTGAAAAGCAAGATCACATCATGTCCAATGCAGACAAAACCATTTACTACACTAAGAAGTTACTAAGAAAAGCTGAAGCTGTTTTGCAAAATTTAAATATAGAACTCTGTAAGAGCTATAATTTTGCAAAACAAGAATACATGCTGGTTATTCCAATAGGAAAAACGACCATAATTCAACTCCAGTGCTGTCGATACTAACTTTGTCACTGTTGTTATCTGCAAAGGAAAGAAAGTATTTGATGTGTTAATACATTCTTTGCTTCTTGAAATATTATAGGAGTTTCCAAATCCAAGCTCTGGTAAAGCCATATATCACGTAAGTCAAACTTAAAATCATCAAGAGAACCTACAAGGGAAAAATTAGCCCAGCTGAGCTTAGACCAAGTGAAGTCTGTGGACATCTTACCTGTTTTAAGCAGCAGGCACATTTTCACGCAAGAGTTGGCAAGAAGGTCTTGATAAATGCGTAACTGCATGCAGCCTAGTGAAGGCAAATTGCTTTCTTTCTAAGTCAGGACTAAAAAAGGGAAACAAAAGTTCCTCCCCCATCGTGAAGTGAAGGCAAATAGTTTATATCCTGAGTATGGTTTGAGGGGGCCAGGAGGAAGGAAGGAAATTCTGAGTATGACAGGGTGCAGGTCTGAAGAACTGCATTTGCTCAGCAGTGCTATCTGTGAGCAAAATACAAGTTGCCTTGTTGTTTGTCGGGTTTTTTTGGTTTTGTTTTTTGGTGGTTTTTTTGAGAAAATGAGTAATACAAAGCACAGAAGTAAAATGGAATTTATTTCAGACTGATCAATTATTCCAAACATCAATGTTTATGATATTTCATAAATGTAATTGATTCCATTTTAAATGGGGAGATAGCTAAGCATCATTGTAGAAATGTAATTTTTATAAGTAAAACTAAGTAAGTAGTGCAGTGGCAGACCAAGATAATCACTTTAGGGGTTTTTGTTTGCTGGTTTTTGTTTTCTACCTTAGGACTGCAAGAGAGACGGCCCAAACACACTACTTCAAGAAAGATAGCAAAATAAAGTAGGTTTTTACAACTCTAAAATTTAGTTTTCAAGCTTTCCTGAACTAGATCTGCAAGGTTGGCAGCAAGACAGGGATTTCTTCACCTGTCAGCTGATACTCTTCAGCTGGTATTATTCATCCGCTAACTGTAAGGTAGGGCACATAGAAGTGCTCACCCTGTCATCCCATCTTGATTGTCAAGTGCTTACTCTTTGCCTGCAGCACTTCCTTCCAGGAGACTTAATTTTGTTGCTATTGTTCCTCTTTTTCAGTACTAATTGCTGCTTTTGAACACTCCTTACACAGTTATTTGCTAAAACAGCATTCCTGGAAAGATAAGAGATGGTTTGCCACAGTGTATTCAACAAGACTATCAGCATCAAGCAAGTCCTTGGGATCTCCCAATTTCATCCCCCTTCGATGTGGCGTGGACTCCTGCCATCAGCTGTTTAAAAAAGGGCCGGAAGTTACCATGACAACGGTGTGATATAAAATGCATACGGACTGCATTATATGAGTCCACATATGGAAAGTATTCACACTGCAATATAAAGGGAATTGGTACCTGAAGAAGTTTATTTCCTCCATGAGAAGCTCAACTGAAACTGCAGTTTATTCTGTATTTCAGTTGATGTGGATGTTTATTGTTTATCTTTCTGTAGAGTTCTTCATATACTTTATATACTGAGAGAATATCAGAGGAGAGAGGCACTAGGCCTATTCCTCCAGCCCCTTTCGTTTGAGGGATGGGAAATAGTAACCACAGCTTTTGGGTTTTAAGCACAGGTTTTACATTCTTAAGATCAAAGAGAAACCTACAGTTCCCCTCCTGCCCGTTCTATTACTTAATCCACCGGACGCTGCTGCTGGGCACAGAGGCCAACTGGCATGGGACCGCTCACGCCCAGCTTCTCTCCCCACGGCACAGCAGCCACTGGGAACTGCTCCCTGGGGCGCTGCAGCTCCCAAGCCCTGCCCAGAAATTTCTGGGAGAGCCCGAGGCAGCCCCGGCCAAAAGCTGCCAAAACAGGGCAGCGGTGCACGTCCGAGTGCCCAGGACTGCTGCTGGGCTCAGTTTCATTTACTAGTCTGTTGTTTACTAGACTAGATGCTACACCAGATACACTATAAGCCTTTTATGCAGCCTTACAGTCCCTTAAATGTTAGGTCTCCGGTATCCACTTTAACATAAACAATTATTTGAATATAAAAATGACTAAAATTTTAAATCTATGTTGCTTTTTTAGGGTAAAGGTAACATTTAAAGTTGAGATATGTACATTATAAAGCTGCAAAAAGTCTGCTCAACCCCACCAGCTTCCTTGAATGCATCTTAAAGTTTCTTGGTTTTGTGCAGAGAAGTAATGCAACATCTGTCCCTTTGCCTCCCTTCTGGGACCTTTCTCCACCAGTCCTGCCAGGGCCACAGTTGGTCTTTCAGAGCATCTCATTCCCAGTCATCACAGCACCTGCTGACCCTTCTTGACAGATCTCTCTGCATTTTTGAGTGCCTGCTGCTTTCAGTCACCATATCGGGAGTCAAAATACACAGTGAAACATGGACATCAAAATTAATACCAGGCTTGTTGTAAGGTCCAGAACAAATCATGATACAGCTTGTGTAAAGCATTTTGTGGTCTGACTCAATTTAGCTGTGACACTCTATAAACTGATATAATGTCACTCCTGGGAAAAACGATCACCGAAAGCCTGGCTTGGCCCTTTGAAGCATCCCTTTTAAGATGTGAGTCCTTCCTCAGAGATTCGCTTCTGAGGACTAAACAACTCCAAGTTGTGTTTTATTTAGCCCTTAAACAAGCCCAGCTTTTTTCCTGCGAGGAAAGACCCTCACAGCAAAAACAAAAAATCCCACCTACCCATTTTGCTGTTTACTCTCCCCCTGGTTTTCTCTGAATCCTCGTCGCGGCCCCTCGGCTACATCCTGGGCGCCGTCGCCGGCAGAGGCGCTCGGGACGGCATTGTGCGTGGCGGGCTGCCGTGGGACATTAACTGCAGGTTTAGCAGCGCTCGGCGCAGGCGACCACTGCTCAGCGTTAGGCTTGGCGTTAACATGCAGTCCAGGCGCAGCAAATGGGGCCGGGGTGGCAGCCACAGGGGACGGGGCCGCCACCTGGGCCGGGGTGAAGGCGGAGGATGGTGATGGGATGGAGGTGACTTTGGAGGTGGTTACGGCTCCAAACGGCCTCGGTGTCTTATTGTAAGCCACGCTCGCCGTGGCAGTGACTTTGGGTGCAACAGCAGAGGCAATGGGCACAGGCTTAACTACTTCTGTAGGTTCTCCCTATGTGAGATGAAAAACAAAAAAGAAACACACAAAACCACACCAAACGCATGCACATTCCTCAGCAGGTATTTTTGCTGCTCTCAGGGGAGATAACCCACCTAGCGTGAAACCAAGAAGCACAGAAGCAAGCTTTACTGAGACTGCAGCCATGAAATATATGGAAAAAAACAAGCCATGCATTTTAGGAAAGGGAATGATCCAAGCATGCACAATCAATATGAAATCCTGTGATGCTAACTCCACTCATCATATCCAAAACAGACACCCCACGAATCAAATTCAAGACAAACTGAAGAACCACTCTTGCAAAACCCACTGGGTAACTCATGTGGAAAAAATTAGTGTTTTTTATAAAAATCCACATTCCACCTCTCAAACCCAATTTTAGATATGCGTGTTCCCCATACACAAACAGCATGTGCATGTGTACACACACACTGTATATACTGATCTGTTGATACGGCCCTTAAGAGCAGAACCAGAGACCTGGAGCTCATTTATTAGAGGCCAGTGCTTTGGGACACAGTGAACTTTTCCAGTTGCATTCCATCCATGTGCCCCAACATCTTCATATACCCTGTTCAGATCAAAACACTCAAAAAAATGTGATTCTTTTTTTGCTTTTTGTTTTGTTTTGGGTGTTTTTTATTTCTTTTTTTTTTTTTCTGAGAGCTGTTTTAACATGGTGGTTCTCAAACTGTAGCCTTTCAAATCACGGTCAGCAGAAGAGTAATATACTATACATTATTTATGTCCACTGGAGAGGATTTTCAAGTACAGGCCATTTGTAAGCATTTTCAGGTTTGCAAACAGCCTTCTTATCAAAAAGGGGGGTTAGAAACTATTGCTTGAGAACATAACATCAGAAGGACTGGAGAACAAATAATACCCCAAGGCTCTAAGGAAAGTGAGACGAATTGTTCTTTAAAACTCTAATATTTAGATAAGCTTCTTTCAAATACAAAGGAAGATTTCAGTGCCCATTAAAAACAAACACACACACAAACACCACCACCCCCACCCCCCAAACCTTACTACTGTTTCTCTCTTAGGGAATGAGGAAAAACTTCCTCTCTTCCGAGAGTTGGAAGGTAACATTTATTCACACT